CCAAATGCAAATGACTTTGATTACCATGACAACACCAAGTGCCAAATGCAAATGACTTTGAATACCATGACAACATCAACAGAGATACAAATGACTTAGGTTACCATGACAATCTAAAGTGTCACACGCAAATGACTTTGCTACCATGGCAACCTAAATCGCTAAATGCACTGGGACCTTTGTTACCATGACAACTTATACATAAAAAATATGTTCATCTCAACCTTAATTATTATTTTTTAAATTGGAGTTCATTGGTTACCTGTTTATTTATTAGGTATATATGACTAGCACATCAGCTTGTGAAAAGTTAAACCCTTGTAAAACTCAGGTTGATAGTTAGATACCATACCATTCTTTGCTAAATTTTTCCATCTTTAGGAAGGCTTTTACCTTTGGAAGAAAAAAAATAATGAGGAAAAGAAAAAGATTATAAAAATATTTATATTTCTATGTAATTTAAACTGAAAACAAGAATCAATTAACATATTATTTCAGTTGCAGATCCAGGGGAGGTTTGCGGATCCAGAGTTGGTTCTATAGAACCCCACCTTTACGATATTTGGTTTTTACGCTCAGTAGAATGGAACCCCTCTTTGTAAAGCTGATCATACCAGCTTTTTCTGCATGTAGCTAAGGGCCATTTTGGAACTGGCCTTTTTAAATTCCTRGAACCGCCCCTGGATTGTATAAGATGAATATAAGTAACATAATTGTAACATCTTGTTAGGGAATCACACAAGAATAAAGGAATTTATTTTTAAATAAAGATCTTCTATTATTTTCCTGTAAACTCTCTTTCACCATTACACATGGAAAGGCTGGTGATGTGTTTAACAATACTTATATCTTTGATTTCCAAGGACTTTGAACTTTAGTCTAAAAAAATAAATGTGACCAGCATATAATTCCATGTGGAATGTTTGTATAATAGTGCCAGGTAGACTAAATACACCTCATTGCAACATCCTTAAAAATTAAAAAATTATCGATAGAAATTAATTTTTAAAAATATTTTTGATATCTTGATTTTAAAGCCCTCTAGGTAGATAATAATGACTATTTATTATATACCAACAAGGCAATCTTAAAAATTTTAGTCCATACCTTCAAAACAGTGGTAAAACTACATCTGTTTTGTTTAAAGTAATAATTTCTTCCTATTTGTTATTCTTTTGTTCTTAATTTTATATATGACAACGTTACAACAATTAACAATTGTAAACACCAAGTAGAAAAAACGTTAAATCATCAAAGCCAATACCGAGGGGTGTTCTGGGAAGTTGATATCCTGGGCATAAAAGGTATATATTTCTCTCTCTAGAACGCCTTCCTTACTGATCACCTTTTCCATCTCCAATTCATTTATCCCTATCTGCAACAGATCCTTTTAAGCTTCGTATGCAAACTTTTCGTTTCAGATCACATGACATTCCCTTGAGAACTATTCTTTTATAACATACAGACACGTATGAAGAGTGGCAAAATGCTTTGTTCAGTAACTTGCATCTATGTTTGAGATCTGCAGAACTGCAATATGCATAACATGATTAGCCTCATTAGCTGTTTACCCAGAACACCTATCGGTCTAAGCTTTGATTATTAAACTTGACAACGTACTTTTTCATTTACTAGTTTTTCAATACTATTTGTTTCATAGGAAGACTGATATTTGTTAAAGTTAAATGCAAAAAATAAATTAATTTCAAATATACAAGTCTTGTTTTTTTATGATTATGGGCAAAAAGGGTTGAGTTTGATCAAGAAAAGCGCGCTGGTTGGAAAACAGACCACATCACTGCATGCTGTTCATATTTATTTACTTGAAATTTTAGCGTATATAAAATGCGTGGCTTTAATGTCCAGATCTAAGTTGGAAAATTAGGAACTGAAAAAATGATAAATTAATTTTGATATAGAAATCCGAAATTCACTGTCGTATTCATGACACATGCGCAGATCATAAGACGAGGACATCCCACACGTATTAATGGGTCCTGAGAAAAGAGGTTACTATAACGAGTTTCCAATACATTCAAATAGGACATAGGAAATACATTCAAATAGGAATCCTATCCTGGAATTCGGGTAATCCGAACAGAACACTGTATGCATAGTTCTTGAACTTAGTGATTGCATGACATGATTCAAGGAAAAGTGAGCTTTATTTCATGAAGCAGGAATAATTTTCAACTAATCCGATTAATGAAATGTTCCTTTTTTAGAGGGATATACAATTTGAATATAATTATTTTCGGGATTGTTTGTTGTTCCATTTCAGACCATGTGATGCCACTCTTTGGAGTTGATTCTTTCATGTGTAAAGATTTGAAAATGTTCGTCATAAAAGAACAATTCTCAAGAGAATGTCATGTGATCAGAAACGGAAAATGTGCATACGAAGCTTAAGAGGGTCTATTGCAGATAAGGATAAATGAATTGGAGATGGAAAAGGTGATCAGTAATGATGGCGTTCTAGAGAGAGAAATATATACCTTTTATGGCATGATGGTCATGAAATATTTTCTTAAATAGTCGATAAAAAGATAAAGAAATAAATAGTTAGGACTTTAATAAGTAGATAAAAGCGACTTATAACAAATACTAACAAATATTAACAAATATTAATAAAAGATATTTGATAAAATATGTCCCCCTTTTATCTGCGCAAACATTAAATGTCTTAGCAATGATTCCTTTGGAAAAAGTGAATGTTCACTGCGCGTGTAATTTTAAATCAAGAAAATTTCATTCTGAAATGCCTCGCTGATAAGATGTGCATAACAATATATGATGCGCATCCCACATGGAAAAGCCTGGAACAAATTTTGTTATGCGCCGCATGCTAATTCCCAAGGGATTCGATGTATTTTTTTCAAATTTATTGCTTATTTCGTACGGCCGCATATTTATTTGATCGAGCAAGAAAGGAAACTTGTACAAAGATTGTACATCCCACATGGACCACGGTGTTGGTATTACCTAGSTAGTTGCATTTTTATGAGACGGGGAGGTAGGATGGGGATGRGGAGGATCCTATRTGAGTTTTCAGCCACTTTTCCAAGGATCTWCCAATGTTGACATCCTTCCTTGCTGGATACCCAGATTTATGCGTCTTCCATAATATCTTCCCGTACAGAATAGTACGATAAAGGGCTAAATTAAAGATACTTGCTCGAACAGAAATCATGATAAATTGTACATTTGTTAACAAATTGTACATCCCACATGGACAGTTGTGTTTAAAAGATAGAGAAGGAAGGCACCTGCATGGGGAGGAGGAGGGTGTAGATGGAGGACGAAATTATGAAACGAAACTTAGACATTCTAGAGTGTCTCTATAATTGACACTTGTTATAAAGTCTAAGATTCTTAATTAGTCTTTAAGGGTCGGATCAAAAGTACCCCCTTTAAAGAATCAAAAAATAAAATTGTTTTGGTATAAAAAAAAAATGAAGTTAAAAATAAAAAAGATAAAAAATAAAAAATAAAAAAAAACAAATGAAAAAAATGTTAAGGTTAGGGTTAGGATAAAAATCGTTAGGGTTAGGGTTAACACTAACCCTAACCCTAACCCTAACACAATTACTCTAACCCTAACCCTAACGATTTTTATCCTAACCCTAACCCTAACGATTTTTCTTTTGATTTTTTTCTTTTGATTTGATTTTTTGATTCTTAACACCTTTATTTTTTATACCATAAAACTTTTTTTTTGATTCTTCAAAGGGGGTACTTTTGATCCGACCCTTTAAGAGACTAATTAAGAATCTTAGACTTTATAACAAGTGTCAATTATAGAGACACTCTAGAATGTCTAAGTTTCGTTTCATAATTTCGTTCTCCATCTACCCCCTCCTCCTCCCTATGCAGATGCCTTCCTTCTCTATCTTTTGAACACAACTGTCCATGTGGGATGTACAATTTGTTAACAAATGTACAATTTATCATGATTTCTGTTCGAGCAAGTATCTTTAATTTAGCCCTTTATCGTACTATTCTGTACGGGAAGATATTATGGAAGACGCATAAATCTGGGTATCCAGCAAGGAAGGATGTCAACATTGGAAGATCCTTGGAAAAGTGGCTGAAAACTCACATAGGATCCTCCTCRTCCCCATCCTACCTCCCMGTCTCATAAAAATGCAACTACCTAGGTAATACCAACACCGTGGTCCATGTGGGATGTACAATCTTTGTACAAGTTTCCTTTCTTGCTCAAACAGATGAAAAATGCGGCCGTAAGAAATAAGCAATAAATTTGAAAAAAAATACATCGAATCCCTTGGGAATTAGAATGCGGCGCATAACATAACCTATGCAAGGCTTTTTCATATGGGAWGCGTGAATTCTTTAATAGTTGTAGGTTTGTATCGGCTATCTAGAATATGTATGAGGCGCGCACTGCTGTTACTTTTAATTTTGGCAATTCCTACTTATTATCCTACAAGTTGCTTCAATTTCGTTTTCCTTCTTTTCTACCAGCTGTGTATTTCACAGCGTTCCATGTTAAAGCACACAGTGTACATAGTCTTTTTGTTTTGGCCATCTCACCAGTGATTGACCCAGGAAGTGCAATGGGTCAAGTGTGGTGGTCATCAGCTAGGAGGGGTCCTACTAGGACGCCGACCGCACGCCGGGGTTGTGAGCCCCGCCCTCCAACAAAAACGTAGACAAGCATAGCCTTATGATTTCTCGCATTGGCTTTGCCTTTTACGACTGAGAAAATATTAATCACAAAATACCCTCTCTCCCATAGAACATAAGTGGATCACCACTCATTGAATTATAAGTTTCGATTTACATTATTATTTCTCGAAAAGCCAACTTTCACTATTCTGGTTGCTTGGTGAAGTAAAAAGAAATCCGAATAAATTGCAAGGCAAAAATTGTGCAAAATTGTAATAGATCGCAGTTACTCTTATTTGTTTCCCCCAGAGCTCCCGTTTGTGTTCCAAATTCCTTCTCAACAATGTCATCGAGAACATGACTGGTTCACATCGCGATTTAAACAAAACCGATTACTCTAGGTCACCACTATCTGCTCCAAACTCTGACACGTGTGGGACCCATTAATCAGCCCTTGCGCATGCGCAAATTGTGCGCATTCAAGAAAAAAGTGAGTTTCTCCAGTTTCGAATAATTCCGTTCAGCGATCGATTAAAAAACGTTGGTTTGATTGGCTCCGAGTTTTATCCGAGAATTGAATTGGACTATTCAACTCGGCACCAACTATAAAAAAGACAAAATGAAATGAAATGTGAAAATTTATTTAATTTCGTTCTAAACTAATATAGGTTTACATTACATATACTTAATGAATAATGAATATCTTACTGAGTCTTACTGAGTATATGACTACTATGCTATCAACTATCCGGTTTTAGGTGCAATTTCGCTGGCACTGCTGAATCTGAAACGTAAAAAGTAAATAAACAACAACAATTACTAATAATATGATGATTAAAGAGAAGAGAATGAAAAGCAATAAGTCAAACAAACAAAATAACAATAATGATAATGACGAAAATGATAATGATGATGGTGATGA